TACAGGACAGCAGCAGCATTTCTATTCAGGACTGGCTGAGGGAGTCAATTGATTTCATGTCTCATCATAATCTAACTGATTCCTGCTAATTGCTCTCACTTCACAGGTGTTAACACCCCTGTCTCTTTTGTTAATGGTCTTAATTAGGCCTGTGCGAATAGGCAGCTATATGATTCAGCTTCGGATCCAGCTGCTTCAGATGCCAGGGATCCAATTCAGAGCTCCAGATTGGGTTCCCGCTTCGATTCGGCAGAAGTGGCTCTGAAGCTTCAGAGCTGCTTTGGAGATCCGGCCATAGGGTGTAATGGGGAATCAATGAAATATCTATAACTTTGTTGTTTTTGTCTGATCTGGATGAAACTTGCAGAGATGGTAGCCTATGCTGAGAGCATGAAGCCTACCAAGTTTCAAGAAGATAGGTGTAGGGGCTTGGGGGAAACTGCACCCCAAATTCTTGGAAGTAAAACTCATGTCACTTGTATGTGTTACACCACAGGGGGGTGAAAACTGCAGGGGTGGTGTCCCCTGCTGAGGCCATGAAGCCTGCCAAGTTTCAAGGAGATAGGTGCATGGGCTTGGGGGGAAGTGCACCTCAAGCTGCTGACAGGCAAAAATCATGACAGATGAACCTGTGTGTGTTAAGGTGCAGCGGGCTGAGAACTGCAGGGATGGTGGCCCTTGCTGAAGCCACAAATCCTGCCAGCTGTCAAGGAGATAGGTGCAGGGACTTCTGGGTTCTAAAGCCCTGCACCTTTAGCTGCTGATAGGCAAAGCTCGTGACAGATGTGGCAGGATCTGGGCACGGTTGCCCATGAACAACTGTCCTGTCCTGTCCACCAACCTGTGTTCCAAGCAAGAGGGTGTTCAGTATTGCTGGTGATGTAGTGACACACCACCGCACCTCCTTGGATCCTGGCTTAGTGGAGCAGCTGGTGTTCCTCAAGGTGAACCTCCCGCTGCTGGGGTTTCCCAAGCTCCACCTGCAGATGGAGTGAATGCCACCCTCTTCACTCTGTCCACACCCTTTTCCTTTTTTCCTTTTTTAAAAAACATTTAATGCCCCGCTCTCAGAGCTGGAGGCAGCACTCACTGCATCACCAGTGAGCAGGGGAAAAAAATGGTCCTGCTGAGCTCCCATGCCAGGACAAACGTGGAGGTATGGGCTGGTGCTTTGGGGAAGGAGGAGGCCCCAGGTCCTGGGCATGACCAGTAAAGCTGCACTCTGCCAGGGTTGGGAGGCATGGTGGGACTGTTGGTGGTGCGGCAGCCTCAGGAAATGACAGGACCAAGGATCTCCCTGGTGAAAGATGGATAGGAGGTACCATAACCTCCAGCCACCACACACACGCACACAGTCCTGGCTGGTGAAAGCCCAGACCCATCATGTCTTTGACAGGCCTGAGACTTGCTGGTTGCAGTGGAGTTCTGAGGCTCCAGGTGAGTTCAGCTTAGCTGCCTGGGATGCCAGCTTTCAGGTTGAAAAACCCTTCATCAGGCTGAGGAAGTGCCTGATGGTGTGTGTGCTGTTCCTGGATGGAAGGAATAGCAAAGAAGCAAGAGGCTGGAATGCAATACAGGCAAGAAAGCCAGTCAGTGAAAATGGTAATGGAGGCATCAGGGGGTGAGGGACTGCTTGGGATGTGGGGGGAAGAGGGACGAACCACTTCTCACAGATGAGCCTATGAACTGCACTTCATCAATCTCCTAGGTACAGAAACTCATGGACTCAATATAGACAGTGGAATTCTGCCACACTACAACCTGCCGGACATCTGATTTCCCAGGTACCTCTCCACTTCTACCTGCTATATCCCCTGCCCCCCTCCCCTACCCCAGCAAGGTTTCAACCCGAAACCTTGCTAAGATATATTTCTCTAATTATTCAGTTGGTCTACTAAAAGATACAAGATTGACTCAAAGAACCTTGTCTGCCAGTGCCATGTCTTTAGACCAACACCCCTACCACCTGTCCCCGGTCAGCTGCGCGGAAGGAGGCAGGGCCCTGGGCACATCTAAGCTCCAGTGCTGGGGCTGGCAGGGAGCGTTCTCTGGCAGATGCTGGAGAAGAAGCTGCTGCAGGAGAGGAAAAAAATGCTCTGTGACAGTTTGGCTGCCTGAGATGCTGCTGGTGCTACTGTATCTGCTTACTAAGTTATTATTATGTGGTGTTATTTAAAGTGGTGGACTGGACTGAGGCTGTAGGGAAGGAGGAGTCTTAATTGGGGCACTCTACCATGTCATGTAGAGGCCCCAGCACCAGTCAGGGCACGCCTTAACACACAGCAGCTTGAGGTGCAGTTTCCCAGAAACGCCTGCACCTATCTCCTTGAAACCTGGCAGGCTTCATGGATTCAGAAGGAGCTACCTTGCCTTCTGTTTTCACCCTACTGTGCCTTAACTCACACATGTGACACAAGTTTTGCTTGTTAGCAGCTTGAGGTGCAGTTTCCCAGAAACCCATGCACCTATCTCCTTGAAGCTTGGCAGGCTTTGTGGCCTCTACAGGGGCTAGCCTTCCTGCTGTTTTAATTTGAATCAGGCAAGAAATGACAGTTATAGGCAGTTTCATTATCCCCCATTGTAGTCTATGGGCAAAACGTCGAAAAAGCATCGAAATAGCAAAAGTTTCAATGAAACAGAATGGAGCAGTGCTTCAAAACGAGACATCGATACAAAACACTGTCTTGCCAAAATGGCGAAACATAAGTTGAAATGAAACAGCGCTGTTTCGCACAGCCCTGGTCACCCTATTCATAGATTGTTATTCTTTTTTTGGACAGTGGTTCTAGATGTGGATGTATCACACCAGAAATTGCGGACTTTTTACAAGCAAGTACTCACATGATTCTAGGATCTACTTCTCATTTCTAAACTTCAGGTGAGAGGGAAGATCTAACTGATTAGGAAAGAAGAGCCCACTAAATTTAAATTGTTCTAGGATGAAGTGCTAGGCAACTCCTTAGCAAGCCCTTCATCTCCCTGTTCCCACAAATTCTCAACAGTTGGACCCCAACCTACTCTTAGCAGAAGCAAGATCTGATTAATGGTAATTCCTGGCTAACATAAACAAGCCAAAATGACCTTGTGAATTTATATTATTGGTTGTCAAACTTTCAGACTTGTTTTAGATTCCATTAAAAATATATTATTTCCACAAATTCCAAATATCCCTGTATATCCATAGTAGAATTGTCTCTCTTTTTAATTAATCAGATTTCCAAATAAAAGCATTAAAAAGTATAAATGAAAAAATGATCAGTAGCTTGTTTAACTAGTTGAACTTTCTCCTTAGGAGTCCATTCTGAAACATCATAGCAATCATTTGCTTAAATACATCCTTGTTTAGTTCAGTGAAGTATTTGACACTGTAAGCAGTACTGTTAATGAGACTTAAGCCCATGATTATGTATGTCAGAAATTTCCAGCACTGGAAATCTGTTTAGGTGAGAGAACAGTATAGGCGTTCAGCGCACAGCCAGTCTCTCTTCCCTGCTCCATGTGCCGTCCCCAGACCAGCATGACCCTGGTCTGGAGAAACCATGGGCAGCACTGGCTGCTCTGTTCCTCCCATTCCCAGATGGGGAAGGGGTGGGGAGAAACAGAGTAGCAGGGAAAGACATTTTCTGTCATTCTACTCCTCTCACACAGACTGAACTGGGAAGGGAGTGGAGCAGCAAGGCAATGCCCTTTTCCCATTCCCCAGACTGGGGTGGCTGCAGTCTGAAGAAGGAATGAAGATAGTGGGACAATATGCCTTGCCCATTCCCAAACCCTGGTATCCCAGTTTGGCATCAGCATCAAGATTGGGTTGGCATTGGGACTGGTGCCCTGGTCTGCAAATGGGCTGCAGGTGAGTGGGTAAAGTGCAAGGTTCCCAGTCTGGGAAACTGAGGTTCCCACCAGGAACCTTACAACCCCAGCATCCAGCAGACTTTTTCACTTTGTCCTACAGCACCTTGGGGGCCACGAGGCAAGGAACTTTTAAATGCCATGTCAGGGAAGCTCTGGAGCTCCCCATGACCTGTGTGCCTGTTAGCCCTGCACAGGGGGGAATTTTCTCCATGCGGCACTTGCACAGCCACATGCTTGCTGTCCCATATCAGACTGGGAGGGGAGTGGAGCAGCAGAGCAATGCCCCCCATGTGTTCTCAACACTGAAGTCCCTGGTCTCAGGATGGCTCAGAGGGGTAGCAACAGCTTACCTCCTCTATGATCAGAAGTGAGTTGTGCATAAGTGTCTCCCAAGCTTGAAGAGTGGGGCCTCCCCAGAGTGGAGGCTCGTGCTTCACAGAGGAGTCTAGCAGAAGCATACAGGCCTTCAGTCTTGTGAGAGAAACTTGCACATGGAAAATCTTTCAGGTCTTAACTAAGATCCGTCTCCTACAGAGGTCATGTTTCCTTCTGGAGAAACTGAATGAACACTTGTATGCTCCTAGTTTCTACCAAAAGAGTAGTGAATTCTTCAGTAGAAAGGTGTCACTTGTATGTGGCCCATGTCTACAGTTATAGCACATGCATAAAGTTAAATATAAATTTAAGGTGTTTGTTTAACAGTGATTGATCATGTGTTTAATGTTAAGGATACCCTTTGCAGAATTCAGGTATATGAATGTA